GCTGTCCCGGCCGTGTCCCCTCCCAACTCCTTGTGTACCCCCAGCCTGCTCGCTGGTGGGGTGGGGTGAGGAGCAGAAAAGGCCTTGACTTCGCGTAAGCCCTGCTCAGCAGTAACGAAACCATCCCTGTATTACCAACACTGTTTCAGCACAAATCCAAACCGGAGCCCCGTGCCAGCTACTGTGAAAAAAATTAACTCTATCCCAGCCAAAACCAGCACAGTCTCTAAGTTTAACTTAAAATAGAACCTAACATAGAAAACCGATTGCAGGAGGCCAGTGAGAGCAAAACTGAGTGAGGATTCGGGTCTGAGGTTTGCAAAATCACGTCTCCTTAACCGTTGCTCTGCAGTTTCCTCTCCACCTCCAACGAGGCGGTCTATAAGGTGTTTAACGAGACTGCGTGCCAGTTTTCCGGGCAGACCTGCAAACCGGAGGTGAGGACGTCGGGGGAAACTCATACGAATGCTACGCTTAATCTGTCAGAGATAAGGTGGTTTATTACATGAAAAATATCCTGGTGGCTACCTGAGCCTGCAAGCTCTTCCAAGTGAAATTCCGCCTTTCTGAACTCGTTTACATCATGTCGTTATTTTTCTTCAAGCCGTTGTGTGCGCAAAGCTGACTTTTTGGTCTGAGCAAACGCTACCAGGCAAAAAATTAAGCAGGATAGTGTCTTCTGAAAGTCGAGATTGCTGTGGGTTGAGCGGAAGATGCTGTCGGCCCGCCTTGCGGCGCGTCTCCGGCCACCGCAGTGCGTGAGCGTCTGCTGTCCTCTCTAGACCTTCAACACGAGCAACGTCACCAAGCTGTGCCCCGACGCCCAGTGCCTCTTCGCGTTCTACGGGGGCGAGACGGCGTACCACAAGTACCTCATCGTCCTCCAGTTCTTCAACGTCTTCATGTTCTTCTGGCTCGCCAACTTCGTGATCGCGCTGGGCCAGGTGACGCTGGCGGGGGCCTTCGCGTCATACTACTGGGCCTTCAAGAAACCCGACGACATGCCCGCCTTCCCCCTCTTCTCCGCCTTCGGCCGTGCGCTCCGGTACGTCCCTCTCGAGGAGGGCTTGCGAGCTTCTTGAGGTTGTCCCCTTCTAACCGGAGCGATCTTTCCCAGGTACCACACCGGCTCGCTCGCCTTCGGCTCTCTGATCCTCGCCATCGTCCAAGTCATCAGGGTCACTCTGGAGTATCTGGACCACAGGTTAAAAGGTACCGAAGCTGGAATGGCAAATGAGTAGACGAACGAGGTTGGCTTCTTCTGTGTCCCTTGGTGCCAGAGCTCGTGGCTAACGTCCAGGGGAATAATTTCAGTATTTCGGTAGGGAATCGAGATTTTCCTTTTAGGATCCCGTAGTCGTCTGTTTTCTCCAAGAGACGGGCGGGAGCCGAGGGATGCGCCGCGGCTGCCGGGCTAAGTCAACCGGTGCCAGGACTCTGTACGGGTGGGAGGGAAGTCTGCGTCTGGCCGTACGACTCCTATTGATCGTGAAATGTAAACAGCGAGCAGAAGCATGGGAAGAGCATGGGAGGCTCATCCCGCTGTCTGCAGCGGTATCGGCCTCCCAGGGAGGCTGAAAACAGGGCGTAGCGGGGGAGGCCGTGACGGGGCAGCGGGACGTCTCATTAGGGACCTTGAAGTTGCTTCTGTAAGAGAAGGCGTCTCTCGGTTTGGTTGCTCACCCTCTCCCCGTGGCATTCCTCCAGCTGCAGATAATAAGTTCGCCAAGTTCCTCCTGAGCTGCCTGAAGTGCTGCTTCTGGTGCCTGGAAAAATTCATCAAATTCCTCAACAGAAACGCGTACATCATGGTAAGAGTCTCCCGGCGTTAACGCCCGAAGGGTTGTGACTGGGGAGGAGGTCTCCACACTCTTGGAGATTTCTTTGGGTGGCTGCTGAGAACCGCGTCTCCCGATGTCATGGGAAAACAAAGCCTTTCAGCATTTCCCAGCCGTTTCGCTGGGAAGCCTTGACCTCAGCCGTGTCGCTTTGACTTTGGGAGGGACCTTCTCAGAGACACCGGGGTGGGGGGATTCAGCTCTCGCTGTCCGCGATGCCCGACCTGTCAGTGGATGAAGAAGCGCTTCCAGGGTGGGATTTATCAGAGTTTTACTCAAAGATGGGATTAATTGCACCCTCTTCTTAGCGGTGAATTCAGTGCGGCTCCGTTTCTCTCTTCTCTGCCCCTTTTTTCCGGGACTCCCTCTAGATCGCCGTCTACGGCACCAACTTCTGCACCTCCGCCAGGAACGCGTTCTTCCTGCTGATGAGGAACATCATTAGGTGAGATGCTGGTGGGTGCGAGGGGTCTGCTCTCGACAGCAGACTTGGTTATTTCCAAGTCCTTCTCACTGCCAAAGATCAACCTTGATCTGCCTGCCTTGTTTTCAGGCTTTCACGGCGTTTTGTGCCGCGTTCGCAACGCGTGTGCACGTTGGCCGCCTCCTCCCGCACCTCCTTCTGAATTCGGGGTGGGGAGCGGATGCGGATGCTCATCTCTCTCTTGTTTCCAGGGTGGCCGTTTTAGATAAAGTCACGGATTTCCTTTTCTTCCTCGGAAAACTCCTCATCGTGGGAAGCGTCGGTAAGTGCTGGGGACTGGAAGTTTCTCCTCGGGGTGTACGGCTGCTGTAGGCTTTCGTAGCCGGTTACGGCTTCCCAAAACCTTCCTCTCTTCACTCCTCCCATGAAACCGTTCCTTTCCATCCCGTTTGACATCTTCCCTGCATCCATTTGCTGCCTTTCTTCTGCCCTGCATCCCACAGCAATTTCCATCGTTTGCTTTTCCAGGAATCCTTGCCTTCTTTTTCTTCACCCAGCGGATAAAGCTGGTCCAAGACACAGCGCCGCCCCTGAATTACTACTGGGTCCCTATTCTGGTGAGCCGCTTTCTCGTCTTTTCGGTGAATTTAGAAGTGATGGAAGGAGAACCTTAACACAAATGCCTTAAAAACACCCCTCCGCTTGCTGCTTCTGAAGGACCTTCTTTGTTGAAGGTGTTTTCTCCGTCCCCGTCGAAATAAGCCCTTTGTTTCGGTCAGCCGTGAAGAGGCGTCTCGCCCTTCCTGTGCTGCCCAGATTGGCCTCTGTCCACCGTCGTCACTGAGGCCTTTTGTCCTGAATCGGGCCAGTCTGAACAGTCCTGCCCTGTTCGCTTCTCCTCCTTTCCCTGGGGAATTCGGGATTCGGCAGGTTTCCTCCTCCCAGCCGAGGGACCGGGGCTTTGCGCTCTTTGCAGATGCCAGGTCGCGGCGTGACGGCACAATTTCTCTTTCAGACGGTGATCGTGGGCTCCTACCTCATCGCCCACGGGTTCTTCAGCGTGTACGGCATGTGCGTGGACACCCTCTTCCTCTGCTTCTGTAAGTGTCTGCCTTGGAGGGTCCGTCTCCCGCTGGGCAGGAGTTTGCGGTAGCAAAACCTCCCTCCCTCTGGCTGAACCCCCGAGTCGTCCAGATTTGGGGTTGGCTCCAAATTCCCATGGCCTCTCTGTGTGGTTTTCTCCCACTTTTTCCTTTACCAACTCCCACCTGCGTTCTTACCAGCACCTGCTTTCCCCCTGCCTGCTAGCAGCGGAAACCCACAGCCTGTCCTTGGGTCTCCTGCGGTCTCTCTTGGTCTCTCTGTTTTGGTGCTTTGGTCTTGGTGGAATCTAACTGCAACTAACTTCAATTTTCCTTTTTTTTTTTCTCTTTTTTTCTTCTTTTTTTTCCTCCCCCCTCTCCCCCTCGTGTCTCTCTTCACATGTTCTCCGCCCTTCTGCCTGCTAGCAGCGGAAACCCACAGCCTGTCCTTGGGTCTCCTGCGGTCTCTCTTGGTCTCTCTGTTTTGGTGCTTTGGTCTTGGTGGAATCTAACTGCAACTAACTTCAATTTTCCTTTTTTTTTTTCTCTTTTTTTCTTCTTTTTTTTCCTCCCCCCTCTCCCCCTCGTGTCTCTCTTCACATGTTCTCCGCCCTTCATCTCTGCCCTGCCTCTCCCCGGCTCTTCCTCTCTTTTTCACTCTTCCCCGCCACGGCCGCTTCTTCCTGGGGTTGCGAAAAGGTGAAGATCTGGAGAGGAACGATGGATCTCCCGAGCGGCCTTACTACATGTCCCCCGAGCTGAGTGAGATCCTGCTGAAGGGGAACCTAGAGCCTTCCAAAAGCGCCGATAGCCAAGGCTAGGGGCTGGCCCCGGGAGGAAGGCTGCGTGCCCGGGGGGGGTGCGCAGGACGCTCTCGGCCCCCCCAACCCAAGCAGCGTTCTCCTAAGCCCGCGCGTGGCAGCCACCGTGCAAATCTTTCCCCTGGATGTCCTTCAGAGCCTTGAGGGGTAGAGGGGGTGCCGATTCCTCAGTGCCCGGTGCTGTATCAAATCTACCTTCCTGCCCAATAATGAATATTCTTGTATCGAGAGAACGAACCTAGAGTGTCACCTAGAGCTAATCTGGGGTCCCACGTGTCCGGTAGCGCCCGGCGAGGAGCGCTCCGCTCCCGGCGAGTGGCTGGGAACCGGCTGGACGCGCACAGGTGCCGCTATCTAGTTGTGTTTCGCGTTGAAGCGGAGATGTTTTGTTCCTAACCGCCGGCTGTGAAAAGGATGGGAGAGCTGCTCTGCTCGCAGGAGGTCTCTCGTGTTGCAGGACGGTGGTTTGTGGGATGGGCTGAGTGGGTTCGACAGCCTGAAAACTGGTCTCTCCGCGCTTTCCTCTTTGTTCTGCCCCCAGCAAAGAGCGGCGAGCCTCTTTCCTCGCCCACTCTTTCTATGCAAAACCGGGTTGGCGCACTCAGAAAGATTTCTTTGTGAGATTGCAGATCTTTTGCTTTTAAGTCTGTTCCATCAGCAGCGCCTTCGTCACAAAGCAGAGCTCGCCCTTTTCGCAGCCAAAAACTTGGGTGTCTTCGTGCCGTCAGTTTAGGGAAGCTGAAAAGAGCCGTTGCTGGTTGCAAGCCGTTAAAACGCAGAGGGCTTTTACTCGCAGCATCCCTCGTTTAAAATGGTTTCTCTTGCTGGTTGCACAGAGGTTTTAATCGCTGCGGGGAGGTGGTGGCTCGTCCTGGGAGCTGCCTGATGGGCTCTGCTTTTTCCCCCCCCCGAGGTGGTTGAGTTGACGGTTTGGCTCCTGTCCGGGCTCCTACGGGGCGGAGGAGCTGGAGCTGTAACGACTTTCCACGCTAACGCAGACCGTAGGTGGAGACGCTCGCCAAGGGCGTACAGACCCGCAGGCTGGGGTGGTTGTAGGAAGGAAGACAGAGCCTGCGTGGAAAGCGAGTTCCCCAGCCGGCTCCGGCAACTCTGAATTGCCGAGGGTCCGTCAAGGGAAGGCGATGTCCGGAGGAGAGGTGTGAGCATCCCTGATGGGCTTGGAAGCCTGGACTTCCATGGGCTTCCAACCCTGGAAGGCTACGGGGAAGGAGTGCGTTGCGCTGGCGGGTGTTACACCGGGGACGTATTGCGGCATCTCTACGGCTAGAAAAATCAGACCAAGTTTGACTGGGAGGCAGCTGGTGAGGCTTACAGCCCCTAGAGAAATGGCAGCCAGGCGCAGGCTGGAGCCTCACCTTGTTTTCTCCTCTTGACAGTCCAGAAATGATTTTAAAAAAAGAAAAGATTTAAAAAAAAAAGGGAAGATTTAAAATGCCATTCTGGCAGCCCGCAGCCTGGGTAGTTGCGGCCAGATCTCCTATTACAAATCTTCACACAGAGAGAGAGCCCTGCCTTTTGAGTCGCGCCCTCTCAGGACAAAGCCGTAGTGTTAATGCTCGTATTTTCATCACAGGAATACTGAAGTCCCTCTCAAAATATCCCAAGGCGCTTTCACTCGACTCTGAAGCTGGTGCTCTGCGGGTTTGTTTGGTTTGGGTTTTTTGGGTTTTTTTTTTTTTGGTGGCTGCGATTTTCCTACCACTTCGTGTTGGCGCAGCTGCTTTGCTTTGAACGGCGAGAGGCCGAGCGGCGTGTTCGGTGCTGGGAATGCACCTAATGATTATGCATGCATGGCGTGTTGGCAAGGGCGTCGCGCACCCGGCGAGCAGCGCCAAGCGAATACCGAGCGAAATTGCTTTGCGCTCGCATCATGAGCCGTTTCGGCTGCACAAAGAGCAGGGAGAGCCGCGCTGCCCGGCTCCTTAGAGGAGGGGAACCGCGCTCCCAGCCGGCAGAGCCTCGAGGTCGCGGAGGAGGCCTCTCTTCCTACAGCACAGTTAAACTTTCCCCCCGCCTCCCTGAAAAAAAAAAAAAACAACCAAAAAACCCCACCCAAACCTCTGGTTTCTTCTAAATAATAGCAGCCTGTTTCCGGAGCGCAGCGCTCCCCCCGTGAAATGGGAGAGGTGCGACTGCGGTGGTTTGTACAGCTGGGGGCATTTAGCTGTGACGCAGGGAGAAAATACCCCCTGCCCGCGATGAGCCGCAAGACTTTTTTTTTCTATCAAAGATAATTATTAGACGACGAGCAGGACTGCCCCTCTAGCACCTCTCTGCCTTTAGGCTCCTTGCTGCATCTGCTGTGACTCCTGCCACGCCAACCTCTGTGTCTGTGTCCCCCCCCCCAACTGCTGCGCGGGGCGGGGGGGGTTTCTCTTTGCAGTGGAAGACCTGGAGCGTAACGACGGTTCGGCCGAAAAGCCTTACTTTATGTCGCCCAACCTGAAAAAGCTCCTGAAGAAGACGAACAAAAGTCAGCCGGACGCCTAGAGCCTGCCCTCGTCCTTTCCACGCTTCCTCTTCCCATTCCCGCTTCGGGAGCAGAGCTGCGGGATAACATCTGCCCGGCGCTCAGCATCGTTTATCCCACGTGGAAATCTCGTTAGTGAACCTGAACCGCTGTCTCCTTCACCCCTGCGGCGGGCAAGCAGCAGAAGGGGGGGGTTCGTTAAAGAGAGGAATGGGTTATTGTTAAATGATTCAACCTTAAATCGTCGGGGTTGCTAAACGAAGACCGCTCTAGCGTGTCTGCTTCCGCACAACTCGTCACAGCTAACGTCCCGTTGGTCCCCGGCCAGCTCAAACACTGGGCTGGGGAGTTCCCGGACGAATCCTGCCAGGGCACATGCCGGTAAAAGCAGCGGGGAAACGTCTCTGACACAGGGCAAAGTTCCGTCTTCCGGGGTGTCGACCGACACCAAAACGAGTTTAATCGGATTTAGTAATTTTATTTTATACCGGTAAAAGAGATGACGTTACCTTCAGGTCAGCCGTGTTCGGCCGTCCCTTAGCGCGTGGGCGAATCCAGGCGCTGCGGTGACCAGCGAACAAGCTGATGGGTTTAAGCAGCTCCTCGACTTGGTTTTTATTTGCAGCCCCCCTTCCCCCCCCCAAATGTTTTATTGCAGTTGTCGATTCCTACCCGGAGAGCTGAAACACGCTGAAATCGCCTTGCTTCTCTTGCCACCTTATGGAGACGCCTCAGGGCCCGGCTTTGGGGTTGTGCCGAGCACATTTAGACGACCAATGCGTTTAGGAAAACGCCAGTTAGTGTTCTTATAGCCACGTGGGAAGGGTGAAGGTGGAGGGAGACGAAGGGTTAATGAGCCTTAGAGCGCCGTGCAGGGTGTCCCGCGGAACCAGGGGTGTATGTTTGGATGCAACCAGGGACGGACGGACAGACGCTCTGTAGAGTTATTGCATCTTTCTAGGACCGGCAGCTTCTACTGATTCCTCCCCCAAAAAATCCTGCATTATATATTTTAAAAATAATTTACAGCAGAGCTTTCCCTAACTGTCGAGCAAAATGCTTTGCCTGTGTGACAAATTTAGGAAGACCCCACCTGCGGGCATGGGAAAGGAGTAATGTGTGTATTTATATATATATTTTTTTTTTTTAGGTTAATATTAGGTAATTTTAAGCAAACCAAATGACAAACGACAGGTTGCCTTACGTCCTTAGGTGCCACGGGGGCGCCTGGACTTGTAGCTGACTGCTGTTTCTAATGGGAGGGTCCAGACCTTTGGCAGCTCCTGTCAGGAGAAAAAGGGGACGTTCTTGAGAAATAGATTAAAAGGGGGTTAAACATCACTAAACCACAAATATTAAACTTAAAAAAATAAAGTTTAACAAAATTACAACATCTCCTCCGATACGCGCAGCTGCTGAAGTGTCCTTTGAGCAACAGGAGGCTCGCCCGGGTATAGTCGCCACCACAAATTGTTCTTTTTTTTGCTTTTTTTTGTTTTTTTTTTTTGAAAATAAATGCACTGAGGCTTTGGCGGACAATTTAAACAGCTCCCAGCACGGGGGACAGACCGAGGGGGGGGGGGGGGGCCAGCGGCAGCAGGAGGCTTGTGGGGTCGCGTGCACCTCCCTGCCTTAACAAACGCAAACCCTCTTTATCGCAGACGTTTCCTTAGCCACGTTTAATTTGTGCTGAAGGATATATTTTGCTTCTTTTATACATATTTCTTAGTAATCTTTAGATCCCTGTAGTATTTTTGTAAGATACAAGGAATGTTTTCTATCTGAATTATTAAATGGTTTGGGGGTTTTGTATATTTTGCTTTTTACTAGTTGTTTCGGTTCCGTGGCCGTTATTTCGATCTCTTCCAGTACTATTTTTTGTGACAGATTTTGAAATACCTACCTGGCAGCACGCTGAGACGTAACTGCTCTGGCCCGGGGCGGCGCAGCACCGCTGACGTCTCCCTAAGCCGATCGCAGGCGTGGATCAAACGCCATCGTTTTTCTAAAGCGCCTTTTTCCTCGCATCTCGATGTAGCCGATCCAACGCTCGGGGGGAGAGCTAAAAAGGAAAGGCGAAGGGAAAGCTAAAAAGGCGAAGGTAAAGCTAAAAAGGCGAAGGTAAAGCTAAAAAGGCGAAGGGAAAGCTAAAAAGGCGAAGGGAAAGCTAAAAAGAGAATCCTCTCGGTTTGCGATAGGGGGTAAGTTATAATTAAGGGAATAATTAAGGGAATATATTCAGTTTACAGCTACACTAGCACAAAATTATTTTAATTTTTTTCCTCTCCCATCCTTGTGTAGGTTTTGAGGTGGTTGGTTTTATTTCCTGTTTGAAATTTTTGTGTAGAGGGCAAGTTTACTCTCGCTCTTCCACTTTAGCTGTTCTCTTTTTATATCGAGACACTTTGGTTGTGGAAACGCTGTCCGAAATAGCAGAGGACCATCAATTAACTCGATTTATTTGCATAAACAGCCAATATACAGCAGAGATTTTTAGGTCTGGAAATACAAATAGAGAATAAATTTAGCAAAATGTGTTCTTTGGGCCGTGGGGCTGGCTCTGCTGCATTCTGTAAACCCAGTATTTGAGGAGCAGAATTAGGGATTCTTATTTCCAAAAAGCCGAAGCAGCAGCCGCCGGCTTTTCAAAGCTGAAAACTACAGGCGCTGCGCTTGCCGAGAGCTTCGGAAAGCGGAGAGGCAAATCTTCCAGTAAATGAGGGGTTTTTTTTGAAAAAATCGGAGCCACTCAGGCGAGGGCAGCTGTCCGGCGGGATTTTAGTGTCCGGAAAGGCTTCACTCCATGACTTGGGTTATTTCTTTTCTGCAAGCGTGGACTGATCCGTGCACTTGGAGCACGTCTCCCATGTAAAGCTGTGTATTTAAAGGCCATTAATTTGTCTGTCTTTCGGAATAATCGCGCTCTTTTCTGTATTGAGATGCAACTTCTGTCCCTATAAACCGCGCATGCTCTGAATCGTTCCCTGAATCAGGCCAGGGCAAGTAAAAAAAGCTAAAAAAACCCCACTAAAAACCGCAGGGCTGATGTTCTACAACAAAAATTTCTTCTTTTTTAATGTATTTCTGAGGCATTAACTACTCCTACTATGCACCGGGGCTTCTATGCAAGGACGTACCTCCGGCGGGAGCGTCCGCGCGCGTTCCCGATGTCATGTGTGACGGTTCCATCGATGTCAGCGTTACAACCAGAAATAAAAGTGCCTGTTTGGACCTCGTTTCCGCCACGTGCTTCCTTCTGACCTCACAGGGCTCCAACGTCCCGGCAAAGCCTTTACCAAATTCTCCGCAGCCCTTCGGAGAGGGGTTGGGGGTGGAGGGGGCCTCTGGGGAGCCGCTGGTCCAACCGCGCTCGTTAGTTCCTCTTCGTTGTGGCTTCTGCTCGTCTCCGCGGTGTTTTTCTGCCCGGCAGCGCGGAACACCTGGAGAAAGAGCAGAGCGTGACAGCGCAGGTGACGGATACAGCTGGCTTTCGCCCCGAAAACGGGCTGTTACAGCTTGCTTCGACGCACACCTTAACGGTCTGCTCCCGATTTTCAGAGTTTGGGGCTGCACTGACTTGGGTTTTTTGACTAAATACAAGGTATTGTCAAACGATCCTTGACCCACAGAAGGCAGCGCTCTCCAGCAGAGGTTTAATAGGCTTTTTTTTTTTTTAAGGAGCAAGCGTTCGTTTGGACACTTACAATCATTTAAGTTCATACTCGAGTTCAACAAAAGCGAAAGACGTCTTTGAGATCGTTCCCCTTCTATGTTGCAGCGGGAGAAGGAACTTGCCGACGAGACCACGGGCTCATCCTGCACCCCAAAGCTCTTGGGAGCTTGATGCCAGGTTAATTTGTACGTGGCGAGGTTGTTCGTCTCTTCCCCGTCCCTCCGGCTGCCAAGGCCACCAGCGCTCTAACGAGTTACGCCAGGAGACGCGGCCGCGGCCGGGTGGCACCCTCTGCCGCCACGCCAACACATCGCAGGCAGCAGCTCCACGGAAGGTGACGGACACCCATCGGTGTCCCCCGCGCCAGGGGCCTGTAGGAGCCGTGCCCTGCTGTAGATCAACCCTATACCGCAGCGACTCGTGTCTTTCCGTGTGGGACGGCGGGGCTCTTGGCCAAACCCTGCTCTTGGCTGCCCCAGGCTTCGCGCCCCCCGGGGCCGGGATGTCGGTGGGCCCTTCTCCGGGGGGGGCACAGACCAGCGTGGCAGC